AGGCAGGCAGATCAATTGAGGTCAGGAGTTTGAAACTAGCCTGGCCAATAATATGGTGAAACACTGTCTCTACTAAAAATACAAAAATTATCTGGGCCTAGTGACATATGCCTGTCATCCCATCTGCTTGGGAGGCTGAGGCACAAGAATTCCTTGAGCCAGGGAGGTGGAGGTCACAGTGAGCCAAGATCCTGCCACTGTACTCCAGCCTGAGTGACAGAGTGAGAATCTGCCTCAAAAAAAAGAGAGTGTCATTGCTTTGCTAACCCTAATGAAATATTGGATTTGAATAGTATTCCTCAGTGGCTGCCAAAGCTGTCAGCTGAAAATCTGACAAGGAGCTTTATGTGAATGGGTCAACCCAATAACCCCTGAACTCACTGATCTTTTTTTTTTTTTTTGGCGGGGGTGGGGATGGGGTCTCACTCTGTGGCCCACATGCTGGAGTGCAGTGGTGCAATCTTGGCTCACTGCAACCTCTGCCCCTGCTGATTCAAGCGATTCTCCTGCCTCAGCCTCCCAAGTAGCTAGGTTTACAGGCGCCTGCCACTGTGCCCAGCTAGTTTTTGTATTTTTAGTAGAAACGGAGAAACAATCTGTTAATGCGATAGTTCATGACACCCACCTAATGAAGTGTTACTTGCCCCTCCAAACCCTAAATTTGAATAAGCCTTAAAATCATACAACTTTGGCCAGGCACGGTGGCTCACGCCTGTAATCCCAGCACTTTGGGAGGCTGAGGCGGGCGGATCACGAAGTCAGGACTTCGAGACCATCCTGACTAATACGGTGAAACCCCGTCTCTGCTAAAAATACGAAAAGTTAGCCAGATGTGGTGGCAGGTGCCTGTAGTCCCTGCTACTCTGGAGGCTGAGGCAGGAGAATGGCAGGGACCCGGGAGACGGAGCTTGCAGTGAGCCTACATCACGCCACTGCACTCCAGCCTGGGCGACAGAACAAGACTCTGTCTCAAAAAAAAAAAAAAAAAATTAATAATAGTAATAATACAACTTTATAGAGAATCTTGAGGGATACAATCATCAGAATCCAGAATGTGATAAACTATATAGGACAGATAGACCAGGTTCTTTTACATATAAATGGCAAAGAGTAAAAGGGATCTGGGGCAGTTTGTTTTGGATTAAAGTAGACTTTAAGGAATTTGTCAGGTAATATATGGACTTTGTTTGGATCCTGATTCTAATTCTAAAATAACATTATGAGGCACCAGGAAAATTTAAGCACTGACTGGATATTTGATGGCATTAACATATTAAAAATATGTACTGAAGTACTTACAGATTAAATATCATATCTAGAATCTGCTTTAAATGGTTTAGGGAGCGAGGGTTTTAGGGCTTAGATGAAGCAAGATTGGCAAACTGAGTAATTATTGAAATGAATATACAGGTTTATTATTTGCTCTAATTCCTTTGTTTGAAACTTTCAAAAAAAAGAAAAGATTACTTGTAAGAAAATGTTAATTGTTAAACATAGGTGGTGGCATCTTTTATAACAAAAAAAGAAGAAAAATTAATTGTATTCTATAGTGACAAATTTTTAAATTCCAATCTATTTTCATCAGCCCTCAAGATGAAACACAGATCACAAATCATAAACCAGAAGACCATCCTGAAGAAAATACAAAGAACAATGCTGACGAACAGGAAGAAACTGTTATTTCTTACGAATCAACTCCTGAGGTTTCTAGAGGAAATCAAACAATGGCAGGTAGCTAGTATACATTTCATAATTTTCTACCTGGTGCTTCCTCTGAACTTCTCAATTTATTTTCCATGGGGAGATTCTAAGAAGGGAATCACTTAAGTACCTTGACTGTAGATTAGTCAACGTTTGCTTCCCCAAGTGTACCTTCAGGAGGGATGCGGTCCCTGCCAGAGTCTACCCTGGCAGAGGGATCAACACATTGGTTTTGGTTTTGCTTTTTCCTTTCAATTTTAACATATAGAGTAAACTTTTTCTAATAAAATCTTTCAGCCAGGCGCGGTGGCTCACGCCTATAATCCAGCACTTTGGGAGGCCGAGGCAGGTGGATCACCAGGTCAGGAGTTCAAGACCAGCCTGGCCAAGATGGTGAAACCCCATCTCTACTAAAAATACAAAAAATTAGCTGGGCATGGTGGCAGGCACCTCCAATACCAGCTACTCAGGAGGCTGAGGCAGAGAATTGCTTGAACCCGGGAGGCAGAGGTTGCAGTGAGCTGAGATCACGCCCCTGCACTCCACCCTGGATGACAAGAGCGAAACTCTGTCTCTAAATAAATAAATAAATTAGGTAGTGTGCACAGGAGGTCTCACTGTTAAAAAAAAATTGTCACTGGCCAGTTTTGGTTATTATGTAGCAGGTCTGGATCAAAGTGGTATGATAGTATTAAAACCACAGCATTTAAATCATCTGTAGTATATAGCTACATAAAACTAGAAAAGTGGCAACAGAAAATTAACCTCAAAGCAAAAAAAAAAAAAAATTGTATATTTTTTTTGTTTTTGTTGTTGTTGTTCTTGTTGTTTGAAACAAAGTCTTGCTGTCTTGCCCAGGCTAAAATACAGAGGTGCGATCTCAGCTCATTGCAGCTTCCGGCTCCTGGGTTCAAGCACTTCTCCTGCCCCGACCTCCTGAGTAGCTAGGAATACATGCACGAGCTACCATGTCTGACTAATTTTTGTATTTTTACTAGAGTCGGGGTTTCAGCATGTTGGCCAGGCTGGTCTCGAACTCCTGACCTCAAATGATCCGCCAGCCTCGGCCTCCCAAAGTGGTGGGATTACAGACATGAGCCACCACACCCAGCCAAAAAAAACAAAAAACAAAAACAAAATTAAATAGTCTTCAGGAAACATTTTATACTGAATAATTAGATTGCAGATTAGAAAATAACAGGCTGGGCGGCCGGTGGCTCATGCCTGTAATCCCAGCACTTTGGGAGGCCGAAGCGGGCAGATCACAAAGTCAGGAGATTGAGATCATCCTGGTTAACACAGTGAAACCCCATCTCTACTAAAAATACAAGAAATTAGCCGGGCGAGGTGGCGGGCACCTGTAGTCCCAGCTACTCGGGAGGCTGAGGCAGGAGAATGGCGTGAACCCGGGAGGCGGAGCTTGCAGTGAGCCGAGATCGTGCCACTGCACTCCAGCCTGGGCGACAATGCAAGACTCTGTATCTAAAAAACAAAAAAGAAGAAGAAGAAGAAGAAAATAACAGGCTGGGCACATAATCCCAACACTTTGGGAGACCGAGATGGGCGTATCGCATGATGCCAAGAGTTCGAGACCAGCCTGGACAACATAGACCGCATCTCGATTAATAACAATTTGTTTTTAATTATTTGAAAAGAAAAAATCACGGTGGAACCAAATGCATCTCTTACTTACTTCTCAAAACATGTTCTCATTTTTGTGGGATTACAACATCAGGATTTACTTCTCCAAATGTGTCTTAAAGATTTTTATCTTCTCCCATTTTCTTTGTGTGTTTTAGTGAAAAGTCTGTCCCCATCTCCTGAGTCCTCGGCATCGCCGGTTCCGTCCACTCAGCCGCAGCTCACAGAAGGCTCACATTTCATGTGTGTGTAGTCCCACAAGAAGTACGTCATTTCCCTTTGCATTTGTGCTTTAGAGTTTTTCACTTGTATTTTATGACTCATCTGTTGGTTTAGTGAATCAAAACTGGGATTAGTTCTGGACCGTGCATAGGGATAGTTGGCAGAACAAGTAGGCCGTATCTTGGAACCAGGGTCAGTAACAGATTGCTAACATTGGCTCTTCCGATGATTTGCTGCGTGACAGCATTTTCTTTGTCTCTTATTTCATCATCCAGAAAAACAACAAAATTTGGAGAGTATGGCCTGTGCCAAGACCTGCAGTGTTGTGCAGCTGTGCTTCTACTTAATGTTCCTTTCCATAGCCTGACCTGAGAATTCTGTTTAAGTCATTACACGTTGACTGTGTAATGCTTTTTACAGTGAGTGTGACGTGTCTGCCCACTGGGAATTTGCTAATTATTGTAAATGACAATGAAATGTTTATGGTACAGCCAACTTGATAGAATATTAAAATCTTTAATGTCTATCTGATATTATTTCTAAGTAATTGCATTCTATTAAGTCACGGAGGTAGTTACTAAAACCAAGGATGGTATCAGGGAGAAGAAGGAATCCTTTCTTGAACAGTGTTCCTTAGAGCACAGATTTATAATTGAGAATAATTTCCTAAATTCTTACTTTTAAACTTTCTAGACAATTGCTAATTTTAACCTATAATTTAGTACTTACAGAGTACTCTAAATGTTTTTTAACTTTTTATGAAAGCTCTGGTATAGAGTAAGAATGTTATGCCTCTTTCTGCATTTTCTTTCTCACAGCATCTACCATATCTAGTCAAGTTTGGTGCTTTAGGATTACCACCAGTTTCTGCTGAACAATTATAAGCATTAGTACTAACATATTCTTCTATTTATTTTTTGTTTTTTGTTTTTTTTTTTACGTTATTTCTTTTCTCAGAGATGTCACCCATGCTGGAGTAGAGTGGCATAATCATAGCTCACTGCAGCCTTGACGTCCTGGACTCAAGCAGTCCTCCTGCCTCAGCCTTACAAGTAGCTGGGATCACAAGTGCACGCCACCACACCTGGCTAATATTTTGATTTTCTTGTAGAGACGGTCTTACTAAGTTGCCCATGCTGGTCTCAAGCTCCTGAACTCAAGCTAACCTACCACTGCGCCTAGCCTCTTTGATTTTTACATTCTGAAAATATTTCTTTTATTTATTTATTTATTTTTTATTTTTTATTTTTTTTTTGAGACAGGGTCTTACTCTGTCACCCAGGCTGGAGTGCAGTGGCGCAAGATCATGGCTCAGTGGTTCACTGCAGGCTGACCTCCCAGGCTCAAGCAGTCCTCCCACCTCAGCCCCCTGAGTAGCTGGGACTACAGTTGTGTGCCACCATGCCAGGCTAATTTTTTTGTAGAGATGGAGTTTTCACCATGTTGCCCAGGCTGGTCTCAAACTCCTGAGCTCAAGTGATCTGTCTGCCTCAGCCTCCCAAAGTGCTGAGATTACAGGTGTGAGCCACCACACCTAGCCTTTTTTCTTTCTTTTCAAGTATGTTTTAAATTTCACTAGCTTTGGGTACAAGTGGTTTTGGGTTACATGGAAGAATTGTACAGTGGTGAAGTCTGAGATTTTAGTGCACCCATTACCCGAGTAGTGTATGTTGTAGCCAATATGTTTTTTTTTAATCCTTGTGTGACCTTCCACCCTCTCCCTTGTGAGTCTCCAGAGTCCATTATACCACACTGTATGCCTTTGCATACCCATAGCATAGCTTCAACTTATAAGTGAAAACATACAATATTTGGTTTTCCTTTCCTGAGTTACTTTACTTCGAATAATGGTCTCTAGCTCCATCCAAGTTGCTGCAAAATACATTATTGTATTCCTTTTTATTACTGAGTAGTATTCCATGGTGTATATAAACCACATTTTCTTTATCCACTCCTTGGTTGATGGACACTTACGTTGGTTGCATACCCTTGGAGTTGCAAATTGTGCTGCTATAAACATGCATGTAAGAAAATGAGTAATAACTCATTTTCTTTTGGGTTAGTGGGATTGCTGGATCAAATGGTAGATCTACTTTTCGTTCTTTAAGGAATCTCCACACTGTTTTCCATAGTGGTTGTACTAGTTTACATCTCCACCGGCAGTGTAAAAGTGTTTCCTTCTCACCACATCCATACCAACGTCTGTTGTTTTTTGACTTTTAAATTGTGGCCATTCTTTTTATTTATTTATTTATTTTTTTGAGATTCTCTCTCTGTCACCAGGCCGGAGTGCAGTGGCACAATCTTGGCTCACTTCAACCTCCGCCTCCCGGGTTCATGCCATTCTCCTGCCTCAGCCTCCCGAGTAGCTGGGACTACAGGCGCATGCCACCACGCCCAGCTAATTTTTGTATTTTTAGTAGAGATGGGGTTTCACCGTGTTGGCCAGTATGGTCTCGATCACTTTACTTCGTGATCCGCCCACCTCAGCCTCCCAAAGTGCTGACATGACCCACTGCACCCGGCCAATTATGGCATTCTTGCAGGAATAAGGAGGCATCTTGTTGTGTATCTTCTTTTGAGAAATGCCTATTCCTGTCATTTGCCCACTTTTTGATGGGATTATTTGGTTTTTTCCTTGCTGATTTGTTTTGAGTTCCTTCCAGATTCTAGATATTAGTCCTTTGTTGGATTCATAGTTGGCAAATATTTCCTCCCATCCTGTTTTCTCGAATCTACTTCCTTTCACACCTTTTTGTAGCAACTATAATCTGTGCCCTTTTTTTCAGCCCAAAGTTTTTTGTTGTCTTTTCATATTTGTAACTTTTATTTGAGATTATGTTTATCTGGAACCTCAAAGAGGCTGTTGTTTGTTGTTGGTTGGTGTCTGTGCAGGATTGAAGTGCTTGCTGGAGAGTTACAAATAACCCAATTGTTACAGTATTACCTGTGTTTTGCCTCTGTCACTTGTGTTTAAGCCTTTTTTGTTTTGTTTTGTTTTGTTTTTTCCTTTTTTTAGACCAGGTCTCACCCTGTTGCCCGGGCTGGAATGCAATGGTGAGATCTTGGAGCCTTGTCCTCCTGGGCTTAAGTGATCCTCCCGTGACAGCCTCCCAAGTAGCTGGGACCACAGGCATGTGCGACCAAGCCTGGCTGATTTTTTGTATTTTTTGTAGAGTAGGGGTTTCACCATGTTGCCCAGGCTGGTCTCAAACTCCTGAGCTCAAGCGCGCTGCCTGCCTCGGTTTCCCAAAGCACTGAGATTACAAGATTGAGCCACCACACCTGGCTGTGTTTAAACTTTTAATTTAATACGTTTAGAAGTGACTGTTGAGGCCAGACACGGTAATGCCAGCACTTTGGGAGGCCAAGGCTGGTGGATCACTTGAGGTCAGGAGTTCTAGACCAGCCTGGCCAAAATGGTAAAACCCCATCTCTACTTAAAAATACAAAAATTAGCTGGGCATGGTGTCGGGCACCTGTAATCCCAGCTACCTGGTAGGCTGAGACAGGAGAATTGCTTGAACCTGGGAGGCAGAGGTTGCAATGAGCCAAGATCACACCACTGCACTCCAGCCTGGGTGACAGAACAAGACTGTCCCCCCCCAAAAAAAAAGAAGAAAATCTGGGTATGGTGGCTCACACCTATAATCCCACACTTTGGGAGGCCGAGGCAGGCAGGTCACCTGAGGTCAAGAGTTCAAGACCAGTGTGACCAACATGGAGAAACCCAGTCTCTACTAAAAATACAAAATTAGCTGGGCGTGGTGGCACATGCCTGTAATCCCAGCTACTTGGGAGGCTGAGGCAGGAGAATCGCTTGAACCCGGAGGCAGAGGTTGCAGTGAGCCGAGGTCGTGCCATTGCACTCCAGCCTGGGCAACAAGAACAAAACTCTGTCTCAAAAAATAAAATAAAAAAAAAAGTGACGGTTGCTACTTGGTGACATAATAACACAAAACATAGGAAAAATAAACATTGGACTCATTTGATTCATTAAGAGCCATTCGTATAATATTTTGATTCAATAAACAGATTATGACTGTACACATATCCTTCCAATAATAAAGGATATTCTGAGTTAAAACTCAAGCATATTTCCAGGTTCCTTAAATTGTTATAGGATTTTATTTTGTTTTCCTCTTATTCCAAGAGCAGTGGCATTCTGTAATAAGGGATAATTATTGTCAGATATTTTCTAGTCTCATGGTATGCAGCCACCACAAACAACTAAAGGGCATGAAAACTTGTATTTATTATTTTATATCTTCCTATTATGCATATGCCATCTTTCTGAACTAGCGGTTTTGGCAGGATTTAGGAAACCTTTACAAATGACACTACTATGTAGGCAGCTCAATATATTACTACATATTTTAGTGGAGTTATGCAGATGTTTGCTCATTTTGTTGATCTTTTGGATTCAGCTACAAGTTTGGATTTTTTTTTTTTTTTTTTTTTTTGCAGTTGCAAGATTTAATAGAGTGAAAACAGAGCTCCCATAAAATGGGAGGGGACCCAAAGGGGGTTGGGGGTTGCCGTTGCCAGTGGTACATTTTTTATTCCGTATTGCTATTTATAATTGCATTATGTTGGCCAGGCGCAGTGGCTCACATCTGTAATCCCAACACTTTGGGAGGCCGAGGCGGGCGGAACACAAGGTCGGGAGATCGAGACCATTGTGGCCAACATGGTGAAAACTCCGTCTCTACTAAAAATACAAAAATTAGCTGGGTGTGGTGGCGTGCACCTGTAGTCTCAGCTACTCTAGAGATTGAGGCAGGAAAATCACTTGACCCCGAGAGGTGGAAGTTGCAGTGAGCCAAGATCGCACCACTGCACTCCAGCCTGGTGACAGAGTGAGACTCCATCTCAAAAATAATAAGAAGGCTGGGCGCAGTGGCTCACGCCTGTAAT